CATGGTTTTTGAAGACAGCCCTGCCTGGCTCTGTCTCCGGAGTGCTGAAATTAAAGCCATGTGACACTGTGCCTTAAAAAAAAAAAAAAACTGAGAAGCCAATGATAATGGCACTGGGATTTGGTTCTACTGCATGTACTGGTTTTCTGGGATCTTAGTCTATTTGGATGCACACCTTCCTAGGCCTGGATGGAGGGGGGAGTGCCTTGGACTTCCCACAGGCAGGGTACCCTGCCCTCTCTTAGGACTGGAGAGAGAGGGAGGAGGGTGAGTGGGGGAGCGGGAGGGAAATGGGAGGAGGGGAGGAAGTGGAAAATTTGAATGGTATTATTTACAAAGGAATAAAAAAAATTTTAAAAAAGAACAAATAAATGTTCTGCCCTTTAAAAAAAGAAGAAAAAGATTTATTTTTAGGAGTCTGGGTTTTGCTTGTTTGTACGTATGTATGTGCACTGAATATGTAGCTGGTGTCCACAGAGGCCAGATGAAGAAGTTGGATCTCTCAGAACTGGTGTCAAGACTGTTGTGAGCCTTTTTGTGGCTGGTGGGAACTGAATCTGGGTCCTCGACTAGAGCAACAAGTGCTCTTAACCACTAAGCCATCTCTCAGTCCTTGTATTAGTTAACCTGGTCTATCTTTCAGTATCTTTCTTCCTTCACTCTCTTCTACCCACTTAATTCTCCAGACATGCCAATCAAAGTTTAATCCCTGGAAAAGGCAGCCGGAAAAGAGAAATGGCAGGAGACTCTGGATAATTTCCTGGGGTTAAGGGATAGCCAGGCCAGTGAGGCATACATGTTCAAGAAGCCATACTGATGTATATAGGCAGGACTCAGGCACACCAAGACTAACCTTGACTCATCCTTAGGCCAACACTTCCACAAAGTACACACAATTTCTTTAAAGGCGTTCAGTCACACATTTTGCCTGTGAGCTGTCAAAGAGCTAATTGTCTCCTATTTAGACTATGGAAATAACCTCTAACCCTTCCACTCGGTACATCTACATTGAAGCCATAATTGTCTTTCTATAACGCAGGTCTTGTCACTTAAAAAGAAAACTCCTTTGTCTCCCCCCAATGCTTATAGTGAATTCCAGTCAGAGTGTATCGCCCCCTAGAGTGTGAGTATGGAAAACGGAGGGGTATGGTTTGAACAGTCCCTCCAAAACACTTGTTGAACTATTACTGCCATCATGATGGCCTTAAGAAGAATGAGCCTTCTCAAGTAGGTTAGTTTATCAGAGATGCCGTGTGACCCCTTTCCCCAGTTTGCTCCATCTCTTTTCTCCATGTGCTAGCTTTGGCCATGTCCTGTTGCAACAAGAAAGTCCTCATGGTATGTGGCATCAGGACTTCTGATTTTCCAACTGGCAGACTGTGAGTCAAAAGACATACATTGTTTATAATTTGCTCAATCTATAGCATTACATGAATTAGCTGAAATCAGATGAGAATGTGGAGGCATTTCAAAGCCACTTCAAGTTTTTAAAACAGGAGGGTGTGTGAAGTCATTTTCCATATACATCTTCTATTTCATAAAAATTCTTCAATGCTTTCTCAGTCATGGGTCTATAGCATATCCCTAAGCTATACTGATCATCAAAAAGGTTAAGTACCCCTCACTACAGAATAAAGCCCAAAGCTTTTGGCAATGCTTTTGTTTGTTTGTTTGGTTTGGTTTTTGGGTTTTTTGTTTGTTTGTTTTTTGGAGACAGGGTTTCTCTGTTGCTTTGGAGTTGGAGAGTCTCTCCTGGAACTAGCTCTTGTAGAAATCAGGGCTGGCCTTGAACTCACAGAGATCCATCTGCCTGCCTCTTCCTCCCAAGTGCTGGGATTAAAAGCGTGCACCACCACCACCAGGCTTCTTAGCAATGTTTTAATGACCCAATATATCCTCTCTATTCTCTGGTGTTGTAGAATGCTAAGCTAACAGCTGTCATCTACATTGTAACAGCTGGGGCTACTATCAAGAGACCTCTGACTTAAACCTCATAGTCTACTTGTTTTTAATCATTGGGGTCAAACTCAGGGGTTTACCTCATAACCCAAGTCTATGCTTCACTCCATGAGGGTGGGTATCTTGTTCCCATCCACTTCCCCTTTCCCATTCTGCACCAGTCTTGCTTTATAATTCTAACACATGGACTTACTTTAGTGTGCATGTGTGTATGTGTGTGATACACGCTCATGCACGGGAGTTCCAAGGCCACAAGGTATTGTTCTATTGCCTTCCACTTGGATTTTGGTACAGGGTCTCTTTACTGGACCTGGAGCTCACCCTTTTGGCTAGACTAGGGGTGGCTGGCAAACTCCAGGGATTCGCCCATTTCTCCCTCCTCTGTATGGGAGTTAGTTATAGATGCACAGGCCACTGTGTATAGCTTTTAAGTCTACTTGGGATTTAAACTCAGGTCCTTATGTGAACAGCAAGTGCTTTACAAACCAGGCTATCTCTCTAGCCTGACTTTCAACGATTTTTTTTTCCTTTTTAAGACAAGTTCTCCTTACATATCCCTGGCTGTTCTGGAACTCACTATATAGACCAGTCTGGCCTTGAACTCACAGAGATCCATATGCCCCTGCTTCCAGAGTGCTGGGATTAAAGGTGTGCACCAGTTATGTCTGGTGACTTTAACAAATTATACCCAAAAATATTTTTACAGCATCACCTTGGATGCTCAAATGCTAATCATCTTTAAGCACAGTAATATGTTGCATTCACTCTCTGCTAATGATGCTCATATTTCCTTGGAGGCTGGGACCCAGAGTCCTGCTCAGTCCTGAACAACAGCTCATACATTAGCCACAAACGAAACATTCCTTTCACTGTGAGCAGCACTGAGACAGAGTCCATATTGACTGCTCAGTTTCAAGAGGGCTCTAGCATTGCCTGGTTTAATTGAAGATACAAAGAGTTCTTTAATTTGACCCAAATATACACGATGCCTGATAGAAAACATGCCCCATTATGAAGGGATCTGATTCGTTTTAGCACAACCTTTTACTTGGTCACTTAAGAAACCATCCAAGAAGTTCTTTTTAAAATGAAATGCCAAAGAATGCCCCCATTCATTAGAAGAGGGAAAAGCCAAAAAGATGCAATATTAACATATTTTAAAAAATTACTTCAAAAGTGAGGGCGTGTTCTGGTTAACCAGCATGCAAAGGGAACTAATACATTGTCCCCTTAATTTATTATTAAGGCTGGCCTTAATTTATTAAGTTAAAAAAAAAGCTAGATTTCACATGGAATTTCCATCTTTGTTACAAACCATGCCCGTGCCTCAGAGTTGAGGTCAGGTTTTCTTGGTAACCTCAAAGAGTAACCTCCCCCTTTTAAGCCCCCCCCTTTTTTTTATCATTTCAGACAATTCATCTTTTTGAATGAGAAAGAGTAGAAGAGAGGAATGTTGAATGAGGTTAAGTAAACGGAGAATCTGTCACACAAAGCAAGTATAAATCCCAGTAAGAGCAACCGTGAAGGACAGACGGAAGCATTATTCTTCTGAAAACATTCTTCTTTAAACAGTGTGTAATGACATCCTCCCTAGAGACGTCCCCTGAGAGGGACGAACCACTTCCTCAGAAGTCAGTTTCTAGGCTTTGAGTAAAAGAAGGGTAGCAAGGCTCAAAGTAAGATTTAAGTTTTCCTTGTGTAAAATATTTGAGTTAGAACCACAAAAAGGTACTCACAGGAGTTCTTCTGGGTTCGTCTTTGATGCCTACTGATGTTCCTATGAACATAAAGGCTTGGAAAGAGCCGGGCTGCTATTACTTTTAGCTCCATAAATCAGTGAGCATGTCCTTATCCTGAAATATATGCCTAATACAGTCCCTATTTTCCAGGGAGAAATATATCAGACTCAAATATACTATGTGTAAGGTGATTTATGCTTTTGGTCCAAGTGTAACATTTTCTTCTGCTCAGGCAGAAACTTGACTACATACCCAGCATTCCATGCAGCTGTTAGCGCCTGAGGACTTACATGCACTTAATTACAGAAACGTTGTTTTACTTAGGTAACCAGAATTCAGATTCTGTGTTAAAGGTTTAAAATATGCTTAAACAGGAAAAATATACACAGTGAAATTTCTTTTCTCAAAAATAAGAAAGTTTAATGAATGCATACCCCCAATGAAGACCTCTCTTGAAAGAATTTGGAAAAAGCAAGTACACTTTGAATTTAAAAGAACACAAGAAGAAGCACGCCGGAGGGGGGGAAATCATAGTTATAACTGATTTATTTAGCAAAATAAACTCGCAGAAAGCTTTCTAATAAAAACAAAAGAATCACACCAAAACTTTAGGCCCATGTTCTTTGGTATTGAGATTCAAGATATAAAATAGTTTATTTTGAAAACTTTATCTATTGATTGGGTCTATAAACATTTTGCATAGAAGGGGAAGATAATATAAAATTACCTGTCATTATGTTATTTATCAAAAAGCCAACGAAGTTATAAAGTCACAAATCACATCTGTGAATTGACCAACATCACCAAAGAAATGTTCATTTGCACATGTTTTCATGAAAAAGACTTTCAGTTCCTTTACAATCTTATACCAACATTTTATCATGTTATTTGAACAGCTTCCAGGTCCTAGGATAACATTATTCATATTTTAAAAGCCTGTATTGCTTGGAATTATGTGCCTCAGTATGTTCCATAACACAGTACCTGGAAGCTTCTAACAGCATTAAATTAATGATAATAAAACCCAATTCTGTATAAATCATTTTTGTTTATATTAGGAGAAATATGACAAAAGGAACAGGCATTTTGTCTTTAATAATAACTGGTCATTCAGCAAAGCCAAACATTCACAGAAATACTTGGGGACAGCCAAGGCTGTTCTCCACATTCCTGCATTTTTGTGTGAAAACGTCCTCCCTTAAAGTTGTGCCAATAAATCTGGGGGAGAAATGATAACAAATTCAGAAAAATATTTTCTTTTTTTTTTTTTTTTTTTGCATGAACTCTCGTGATCTAAATGCTCCCGGCTTTGGTGCTAGCACTGATTTTGAGAACAGGAGGAATATAACCACAACAAGACACAGCTATCTATTAGGAGGACCGCATAAAGACACCTTTGGCCGTGGAGGCTCTGAGCCCTCTGGAAATAAGTCAGCTGCATTGCCAACATGACGAAGAAGATGGCAATGTTCAGAATCAAGAAGAGTCTGGTGTATGAGGCCGACAGTGATGGGGCTCTATTGCGGCTTGACGTCACCATCCGCATCTGTCCAAAGCCACCTTTCATGGAACCCCCATTTTTCTGTTTTTCATATGTGACATCGGCAAAATCCAAAAGGTCTTTCATTTCTTCATCTTCATCAATGGGCAGTTCTTTCTGCGCCAAAATCTGAGCTTTCTGTCGAACTTTCTTCTCATTGACTTCAATCTGTGCAAAAATATCAGGGACGGCATCCACGAACTTGTAACGCTTGCCCGCCCTTCGGCTTTTCTTTGACTTGCCTTGCTGCTGCTGCTGCTGCTGCTGCTGCTGCTGTCGCTGGGATATAGCAAAAATCCTGTCGATGGCTTCTTCCGTCTGTCTCTTATCAGAAAACCTCAGTAGCCGCTCAGCAGTCTTCCTAAAGCTGGCTGTGTTCTGGACTCGCGACAGGATCTGCTTCTCGAGCAGCCGGAACACTGGCTTCAAATGCTGCAGGTTGTGTTCCACAATAGCAGCGTAATCTTTCACTTCGGGGACAGTGGGGCTCTTGATGTCTGAACTCCGGTCAAACAGAATTTTCTGATGATCTGCAATGACCTGTGCAAACGCAGACTGCCCTGGGCTCTCACCTGTCCACAGTTAAGTGGCATAGGCGTGTTCATTGGTAGTTACAAAAACATCCAGCCGCTGAGGGTCTCCATGGATGCTGAAGCTCTGGACATCCACAGAGGGCCCTATGAAGAGGTAAGCGGCCCTGGTGATTGGACTTCGCAGGTGCATGGTGACATTCACATAATTCGTCCCATTGTAGGGATAGCCCCGAGGATATGTCACCGAGGCAAAGGTTGCCTTCTCGCTATAACCGGTATCATCCATCCAGTACATTTTATAGAGACCATCTCGCTGCCGGATGAAAGCTCCATGGACCCCGTCTACTACTGTCTCCTCAAAAGGCACATCCACATTGTGGAAGAAACTCGCTGCTGTCTCCAGGGGGCTCTCCTCTCCCAGGTGTATCTGGTCTACCAGGAGGAGGAGCTGGGGGTGTAGGAGGATCAGATTCCGCTGAATGTTCTTCAGGTGGAGCAGGGGGTTGTAAGCGCCTATGCCTTCTCCCCGGATAAAAACCACCCCATCTTTCTCCGCCGCTGCGACGACTCTCCCCTGACAGCTGGCTGCCAGGTCATGCTTGTACTTTGACCATTTGGATGAACAGTCTTCTGTGACCTGACCCTCCCAGGGAGAAAAGCAACTCTTGGACACAGCTGGAGAAAACATGAGCACGTTGTTGAAGAAGGTGTACTTGGGCCCGTAGAGGGCCTCGGTAATGAAAGGCACGCCATTGGGGGCGAAAGTGAACGAGTTTTGGTCAGGATGCTCATGTCCTGCGTTGAAATTTCTCCACCCTTTGATCCAGTCTTTATATTTGTTCCGGTGGACAATGTCATATATTGCACGTCCCCCAAGTTTTCCCGACTTGAAGGAGAGGAATGATCTATTAATTTCTGCAGGTAATGCACTTCCGTAAGTCACAACACCCCAGTCTTCAAAATAATGCAGTGTTGGGGTGCCAAAATCCGGAGGTGGAACTGACTTCAAGTTGGCATCATACCTGAAGGGATGAAGTGTTTCAAAATTAAATGTTTTTTTTTTCTGATGGAAGTAAAAAGAACTCTCTAGAATTATGATGCCACATGGCAATGGGGCAGCAAAATGCAATCTACAAATGCCACCCAGAGCAGGGCAGCTTATCAGGGACCTGTCACAAAACAGCATGCACAAGGGCTAGCAGTGGGGACTTCAAGGGAACAACACACTGTGTAACCTGTGATCCTGGGCTGGAGTTGGAAACAGCTTCTGCACTAACCTCTACTTGGATCTTCCTCACTTGGCTATTTCAGAGTTGCCACCCAAACTACTGGGGCTCACAGATTTTAAAAAAAAATCCATCAAAATTCTGGTCAACGGGATCCTATTCTAGAGAACTCCATATTAGGCTGAGGATACTAACATCCTGCTGGACTTGCACCAAAGAAGCGCTGCTCGACAAGGCCTATGCTCAGTCTGGAATCTGTGCCTCTCATAGACTCTTCTCCTCTAAAACTGTAAAGCAGGGCAGAACTTCACAATGCATAGCATACCAAAAAGTATAAACTGGTCAAGTTACAAGAAACTAATATTGGCACATTTAAAACTGTGGCTACTGCTGAGCCCAGAACCAAAGGGGTTGCTTTGTTTAATTTGAAGATGATGCCAAACTTCTGAGATAAAAAGTGACGTATTTTTATTCATGCCTAATGTTCATTAATGGAATATGAATGATACTTAACACAAAATGCTGCAGCTGTTAAGCACAAAGATGATGATTTTCACAACCTAGGACAACTGCCTTGATAAGATCGTGTGATCTGCTGCTCTAAGAAGATGTGAACTCACTTCTAGCTCAAACATACTTTCGCTCAGTGAACAAGTCACCTGTGGTTGAGTTGGTCTTACTGGTGTTTGGCTTTCTCGATCTCTGAAGTCTCAGTATCAGGACATCAGAAGTGCTCTTTGTACTGAGGTCTAGTAGAATATTTGCTTAATTAAGGTAACAACAAATATACAGAAAGCCGAATGACCATTTTCTCAGCTCTTGATAGGTTTAAATATTTGTACAGGAGCACATTTAAACTTTAGATGCAGCATTAATCTAACTCCTACAGCTAGCTTTCTAGAACCCTCTTGGCTGCCTTTTTATGGGTGAGGATGCAATCATGTAATTACTGCATATACCTCGGAGGAGCTAATATTTCTAATTCCTCTGTGAAAAGAGTTCCACAAGCCAGTTAAATGCCAGGTAGTTCCTGCTTTGATAATTTTTCTCTTTGTTTAAACGTCAGGGGTGGGGGGAGAAAAAAAGTCAAGAAAATTCTACACAAAGCTAATCTGGGGGCTAAGTGCAAATTTCAATAGCTTTGAAAAACTCAACCATTAACTGCCATCTTGATTTTAACTTATTTGAGGCCAACACACTTGGCAACACTTTAAAAAAACAGGGGGGGGCAAGCTCCTTTCAGGCTTAAAAGATTACAACAAAAAGAATTACATGGTCTTTTTTATTATCAAAGTGAAACTGTCAAAACACTGTGCACACTTCTGAACAGCTGCGAAACTCGGGAAAGGCCATGTCATTAGAGGATTATAATGCTCGATTTACCAAGACAAAAGAAACTATTTCTGACTTCTTTTTTGGGGGGTGTGATCATCAGAGTAATCTGGTCAAACCTGTGAGTTTTCTCCTTCTACTATTTAAAAAGTATGACATAAAACCTAAGAAAAGCGGGTTCATCTGTGCAACAGCCCAAGCTTAGGACAAATCCAGTAAAAGAAAACCAAGAGCGCAAGTGGTAATTAGATATACATCTGTTTTTAACAGGTTTAGACACTGATAAGAATTGAATTAAAGATATATCTACTTATGCGAAGGGGTTTTTTGTTTGCTCGTTTTATAGAAAAACAGTGCACAGCATGAACCCGGGAACCATCTCACTGGAAAGCCAGCTCAACATGTCATACCAAAGAAATTCTGTGTGTAGAGTGCACCAGCGCTGCCCTTTGGATGGTGTGCCTGGACCTTCTACCACACGGTTCTTTCTGATCTGGTCAGCTAGCCAGTTTCCACTGCCATTACGCATGACGAATTTATCCAGGAACACTAATTGGCTTTCTGGACCATAAAACCAGTTGTAATTGGAGTCTGCAATGGCCACGGTTCTTTGAAACCCTGTGGAGAGAAGTTCGAGAAGATTGAGTTTAAAACTGTACATCCCTATAAAGGTCCAAACGATGCTCATCAAGCCTGTTTTGAAATTACAGCCAATAGTTTGTCTTAGACAAATGTAAACAAAACTGTGATGTGTGTATGCTATGCCAATCCAATTTGCCATAACTGCCCGGAAAGTCTTCCACTGCGCACAAGCTTGGGTCTGTTACGCAAAAACCTGTGGCTGGTAACAGATGTGACACACCTCTTAGCATGTACATGCTGCCCCTTCCTCCCTCTCCACTGCATCTAGGACAGACACCACCTTCTGCGGGTGTGGTCCTGAAGCTGGGATGGCGCTAGGATTTTCTGCAGCTTAACTTGCATTCTAGGCCAAGATAAGAAAGTAAGGTGCTTCGATTTCATAGGCTTCCAATAAAGTAAAGCTTACTTTGCTTATAAGGGTGATGACAAAAACTGAATCTCCAAAAAGCTTCTGCTAACATATACTGCTAGTATTTAAAGGAGAAAAACAAAATAATGCATGGATCATGAAGACAGGTACCACTACCGGAGTTTGGGAAGAAAATAAAAAGTAAATTCAGATATCATTGAGCAGAAAGAAAGAAAACCCTATGCCAGATGACAATAATTATTACTATAATATCAACCATAGCAGAGAGGGAGGAAGAAGGGGGAGGAGAGAGAGAGAGAGGAGTTGAGAATAGGTTGAGAGAATAAAATAAAAACAGAATTTCTTTGAAAATGTTATCACGAATATTTATAGCTAATAATTTGATTTCCAATAGCTTTTTAAGCAATCTTCTAACATAATTATATTATAAAATATGGCAATCAAAACTCATACAACAAGTTCTTTAAAATCAGAGGACACGTTCCTCTTTAAATCTCAAATTGCCTATTTCAATACCTGGCCTAGAGATGTTCGGAGTATGTTGCATTAATAAGCAAAAATAGCTAGGTCCCCTCCTACGCGCATTCTTACTGTTTTCTCTTGGGAAATGACCACACTTATGCTTACAGCAGCCCCAATCCCTGAGAGGGCTTGCTGTGTGATCTCAGCTCAAATCATAAACACGGGAACCTCCTCAAGGTTTCCAACTCTAGATAATCCTTGATTATCAAAAAGAACATCAAAATATACTTCTTTTCTCGGTCTAAAAATAAACAGTAGCGTTCCCCAGGGGGAAAGTAAATCCAATCTTTAGGTGGTTATTGGTTATGCAGTTGTATTTTTATCTTTGTGTATATGCAGATGTGCACATGAAATGGTGTGCGTGTGGAGGTCAGAGGACAACCTCACGTGTCAGTTCTCACCGTCCACCCTGCTTTAGGCAAGATCTCTTGCTGCTCACCCCTGTGTGTTCCAGGCTAGTTGGCCCACAGCTTTCCAAATTGTTATCCCATCTCCCCATATATGTGTTGACATCACAGATGCATGCTGCTGTCTCTGGCTTAACATGGGTTCCAAGAATTCAACTCAAACTCAGGTCTTCAAAGCTACACGACAAGTATTTTGTCGCCCCCCCCCCACACACACACACCCATGAGCCACCTCCGTGGTGCATCGGTTTGTGCATGACTCATCTATGAATGTCTATACGCACACATGCAGAATGAAAAGGTTTAAATACCGGATTCTTGGTTGTATCTTAGGAGCACTGTCTTCGTTTTACTTCCTGATGCTGTGGTACAGTTCCCTGACAAAGGGAACTTAATGGAGAAAGTGCTTATTTGGATTACACTTTCTAGTTACACCCTATTGTTTGCAGAAGGTGGCAGGAACTCAAAGCTGCTAGTCACAACACACTCCACAGTCAGGAGTGAATTGGTGCGTGTATACTAGCTCTCAGCCGCTTCCTCTATTCACACAGTTCAGAATCCCCTTCCTAGAGGATGGTGCCACCCACTGGGAGCAAATAATGTAATCAAGACAAACTGCCACAGACCTTCCCACACACCATCCTAATTTAGATAATCCCTCAGTGAGACTCCCTTACCATTATACCAAGCTGACAATCAGAACTGTTACAGTTTCAATACAAAAAGTTCTCCTTAGGCTCATGTGTTGGAACACTCAGTATCCAGCTGGTATCAGTGTTTGGGACAGTAGTTATGGGACTTTTAGGAAGTGGAGTTTTGCTGGAAGAAGTATGACTCTGGGGACACCGAGGACACTGAGGCTTTAGCCCCGCCCAGTTTCCTGTCTCCCTCTCTTGTTCCTGTGTGCAGATGCAATGAGGTCAGCCAGCATCACCCTCCCGCTAACACGCCTTCCTACCCTGTTGCCATGTCTTTTCTGCCACTGTTCCCTCCGGAATTATTATAAGCCCAAATAATTACTATTTATAATTATAAGCCAAATTCATCTTCTTTTGTAAGCTGCTTTTTCTCAAGGCTCTGGGGTTTTTGTTTGTGGGATTTTGCTTGTTTATTTTTATTTTTATTTTCTTCCCCCCTTTNCAAAAAAGAAACTAGAAAATTAACCATCAGAATCATCAAAAATTTACCTCCTAAATTTTCTGATCTTAGTCCTGTTATAGAAACCAGGAGGCTTATAACAAAGTCTTAGAAATGAGTAAGTTACCAAGGAACACAATGGCAGAGCAGTGTGTAACTATAGTTTTGTGTGTGTGTGTGTGTGTGTGTGTGTGTGTGTGTGTGTGTGTGTATGATTTTTTGAGACAGGGTTTCTTTGTAGTTTTGGATCCTGTCCTGGAACTAGCTATTATAGACCAGGCTGGCCTTGAACTCACAGAGATCTGCCTGCCTCTGCCCCCTGAGAGCTGGGATTAAAGGCATGTACCACCACCACCCAGCTGTGACTAAAGTTTTATATTGTTTTATTGTTTTTTCTGTATATTCTGTGCCATTTACTCTAATATTTAATCAGATATGTACATCATGGTATTTCACTGTGGTCTTACTACCTTTTTCTTTAAAAAAAAAAGTGTTAAAACTTCATTAAAACCAGGGTCTTATGTATGTTTAGCTAGCATTCTACCACTGAACTACACCTCAGCTCAATGAAACACTCAGGGAAAATACTAAGCTTCAAATACAAAATATATATAAAATCTACCATTAATTTTAAGTCTGTAGAGTTTGAATTAAAAAACTAAATCCCAAATCTACCATCAACCTAAGCTTGGACCTCATAAAAGAAACTGAAGTGCAATTATCTTCTTTAGGTTCATGAAAATGAGTTTATGGCTATCAAGTTTAAATATATAACAAAAGTTCCAATTTTTATAATACTGAAACTAGCAAATCTTCGTGCTAGCTCCAAAAAATGTTTGATATCTATGTAGCTCTTAAATTTTTCTTTGGATGAAAAAGAAACTTTCACCTCAGTAGACAAGCCCTCCTGCGCGGCTCATGTCTTTGTCTATTCTAGATCATGGTCACAGTCAAAATGGTGAAATGTTTCTCCCTCTTCATTGTACCTGGCAAGATGGTCCTGTACATGAAGGCAAAGTGTTGCTTCAGCCACGGATGGCCAAAGTGGTTGATGTCAAAGTGCCTCTGAACAAGAAACATGTACTGGAACAGCGATCTCGTGGTGTAGCTGCCATACGCCACTCCTTCATAGAGCGAGCCATCCGTCACCTCTCGCAGCAAGACCAGAGACTTCTCCATGATGGTCAGAACTTGCTTGGTCCACAGGTAGGCCTCTTGGAGGTACCCTGAAGGAGGAAAACAAGGACTAGGGGCTGAAGCAGAACATGGATAAAAACATGGCCAACCAAAGCTCCGCAAGCCATCCGAGCAGTTTTTATTATTACAAATCACATTTTGCAATGCTCCCAGTTTGTCACCATGACAAATGACAGCCTGTTCCAGTTTGTACTAAGTCCATGATAAAGGCTCAGACAGTCCTGAATACAGTCCACTTATTAACACAACAAACAAACTCTTAAGTGAGGATCAAGGGATTTCCCAATTTTTATCAGACTAAAGTGACACCTACCTCGCATCACAACTTGGCACTTAACTTCAGAAAAAGTTTCCCTAAAAACTTCTCAGAAAGGTTTTCTGGAAGTCCATCACTTGGCAAAACTTCCCATGTTCACACTAAGCTGAAAAGGGTGCTGTCAATGCTAAAGATACTTCTCTCAATTTGTCCCATCACAGAAGGCGATTCTAGTCCTTCTGTGCTTTCAGATTCCAGGTCGAAATCTAACAGTGAGACGAATCAGCTGGGAATCCTGAGGTGGTCAGGGGCAAGGTTCACGGCCGTGTTCAAGCCTTCCTTCACATGACCACACTGTTTGATTTTCCCACTGAAGATAACTTATACAATCTTTGGATGGAGAAGCATGGACTTTCTAGAATTCTTGCACTTAGGTAACAGTACCTCTTCATGTTACAATCTACACAGCACTGAACAGAACCTGACTTGGTCCTTTCCACAAGCCAGTTACCCCTTGCTGTCCCCAATCCACAGAAAAGCTGGCTTATGCGAGACCTTGGGCGCCTGGCTCAGAATGAACAGAACTCCGGTCTGAACCGAGGCTTGACGCCATCCTTGTTTTGGTGGCTCCCTATGTCGGGATAAGGGTCAGCTTCTAAGACGGGTGGAGCCTGTGCTTTATGCCACAAGCATGTGTGTCATGTCTGTATGACCACACTACCTCAGGCTGCTGGGCAATGGGCTAGTTGGTAGGGTCAGCGGTGACTCGGGTCCCAAGATAAGCCATGTCCCTCAGTCCCTAAGGACCCTCCTACTCTCGCACTTTGTAACAGTCTGGCTCTTGCTACCACCCAGATCCCCACTTTCCAGCAGTCTACCTACCCTTTCTCACTACCAGCCCCTAAAGCCACAGTCCCTTTCCTTCCCTGTGTCCTCCATCTCCAGCCAGATAGCAACGCGGATGACAAACGATTAAAGCCTGGCTATGGCTTTGTAGATATCACACTACCTGTCTCCCTTTTTGTTCTTTCAATAGCTGTCTCTCCTGACAGTGTCTACCAACATACTCTGCAGACTGCAGAACAAGTTATCCAGGACAAGATTCAAGTTGTCAGTAGAAGCTTTTCCTGAGACTTAACTACAAGTGATGGTTGACCAACAAAACAGAAAGCTGGGTACTGGAAGTTCTTGTTGGATAATCTGTAAAATGTTAATTAATTAATTCTTTTTATCTCATTTTTTTCCTTCTTTCTTTCCTGTCTTCTTTTCTTTTTGAGACTGAACCTAGAGGCTTAGACATGCTAGGAGACTCTACCATTAGGGTACATTCTCAGCCATATAAATTGCTACTTTAGGCAACATGAATAGGCCTTAAGTAAGTTATTCTAGATTTCGAAGCTCCAATGATATTTTAAATATTTTAATAACTTACTGCGTTTATTGATGTTTTCCTTAAATAAAGTCTTAGCCATGGATTTCCACAGGGGTCACAACTAAATTAGAGTCATAGAAGTAATGGTACATATTACACAAAGTAACTACCAGACCACGAAAACTGCTTCCAACTCTGACCCAAATTATCTAGGCTAGGTGTTCTGACAGGTTCTTTAGGTGCGTGTGTGTGTGTGTGTGTGTGTGTGTGTGTGTGTGTCAAGAATGAGGGGGGTGACAGCTGTACTTGGTTCATGCTTGTGCATGCTGGGAATATGCATTTCAAATTTAAAAGCTTTTAAAACTTTTGTTTATTCTATGTTGACAATCTCCTACCGTCAGAATTCCTTAAAAGAATGAAAGCTCCTCGCTAATCCTGTGTTGCAGGGGTGTGGTCTGGGATAGTTATTGGCCAGCATTAGAAAACCTGCAGGCTAGTATCACTAGCTGAAATGTAAGATGTTATGTGTCCTTAGTAACCCAAGAGAAGCCCTGGACACTACTTCATCTGTGGCTTAATTAGGAGGCAAGTATAAACACGTTCCTAAGAACAGTCAGAAAAAAATGCCCATGCTTCCATCATGGCAGCTCTGACTGACACCGGCTCAGGCAAGGCCCTCCCTGGCTCTGTTAGCATCACACACACACACACACACACACACACACACACACACACACACCTTGGTTCATCAGAATGAGGCTCCCAGTGAGTAAGGCCATGCAGTTGGTGGGCTGATGGTTGTGAAGGTACTGGAACCCCCATCCTCTTCTGTACGAAGTTTCGTACATGTAGCTTGAGGCATTGGCAATCACTTCGAGAAATGTCTCCTGTTGTGTCTTGCTCAGGTAGTTGTATAAGAAGTCATAGGCAGTGGCAAAACCCACCAGGGAGTGGGCAAGTGGGACTTCATCCCAAGGAGCATCTTTTACCAACCTGTAAAGAAAATAATCCACAGCTGAGTGCAGGCCTCACGACTTTCATCAGTCTTCACAAAGGGGACAAATGCAGAGATAAACCAAGAGGGCTAAGGACCCGTAATGGACCTTAGACTCCAGCACAGAGCCAGTCTTGTGTGCGGATGACAGAGTTAACACGCCTCTCTCCTCCCAGGCTTCTGGTTACACTGAGACTTTTAGGATTTTTTTTTCTTTAGATTTTCCATTCTTGATGAGAGGTAGATGAAAAACACTCAGGCATATAAAGAACAGAACATGTAATGGCAAGCCAGTTCAGTTCTCACCCCCCCTTCCTACGTGCTGCTTTTTGGGGTGCCTTGTGAAAACAGATGAACACACATATTGATCTCACTTTCCTCAGCTGATTAACATGAAGTATGGTGGCCTACATCATCACAGTCTGAACAGAACTACAAGGTCAACATCATGAAGGAAGGAGTGGCTAAAACACTGATGAGACTGACTCAGAGATGAGGAGAGGTGACCTGGTCGCCCTGTCAGAATTTCAATGCTCCTCTGAAATGAAGTTCCACCCCCTCCCCTTGTTTTTCTGATTATGCGTGTATGTGCACATGTGTGTGTCCCATAGGAGAATTCATGTCATAAAAGGGGTCTTTTCTCTGTTCCATTCACAATTGGATCTCCAACCACAGAATTGCGTGTGGCACACAGACAATTCTTAATAAGTGGTTTTGGAAAGAAAGGAAAAATGAAGGAACTGATGTCCGAAACCAGGCCACACTGCTTACAACAATTATGTGGTCTTTATGAAACCAGGCATTTGGCAGGATCTCTTTGCATTTATAATAATCTCATCATTCTGATTAGCTGTCCTGGTACCACAGCCTGGTACTGAAAAGACAAAGTCTGATGTTTCTTATTCATTGGCTCCTATTAAAAAATGATGCCCTTCCGTGGCCATTCAGCTTGCCAGCATTCCAGCATTGCAATGCTTGGAAAAACATTCCTGCTTCTAGAAACAAAACAAAGCGTAAGACGATGCCATTGTCAGAAAGTGGGGAACAAGTGACTGGCGAGATTGGCAGTCCGTGTTGTTTGTGCCCAACTCTGTGTCATCGTATCCTATAATGATGCATCTACAAATAGCAGCGTCCACACCTAGCCTCGACAGCGCTGTTGTCAGTAGCTTGCTAGCACTGGTCAAGTCCTTACACACCTGTGTAAACAATTACTCTACTGTTACAAGTAGAACATGGGATATCATTCCCAACCTTTGTAAAATATTGCAGTGCTAATTTCTCTCATGTTTGCTAGGTCCTGGGCATTCTAGTTTGCTCGGTTCAAGCAGTTTCCCACTCAACAAAGCATGCCCATAAAGTTGACGGCACCATCATCCCAGCATCATTTTCAAAGCTGGCCTGTGATAGCTGCATGTGTAGACGTTTATCTGAATCCTTCCCCTAATAGTCTTATCCAGCCTCAGCTACAGAGAACATCTATAAGACTGTACTTTTAGGGTCATAGAAACTAAAAGAATTTTGCTCTCGGCCCATGGATGCAACAAGAAGAAAACCTCTTATTCAATGTGATCTGGGCAGTAGCTAATCAATTTACTGAAAAGTCTAAGTGGGGAATTGTTAAGAAAATAAGCAGACCTTTATACATTTTCTTTCACCCTATAGCATTTATCAATTTTCTTCCACCTTCCTGCCGCCGCCACCTTAAAGCGGAGGTTCTCCACCTTCCCAATACTGTGTGACCTTAAAGCATAAGTTCTCCACCTTCCTAACGCCACAACCTTAGAGCATAGGTTCTCCACCTTTCTAACACCACAACCTTAGAGCAGAGGTTCTTTCTTCACCTTCCTAATACTGTAACCTTAGAGCAAAGGCTCTCCACCTATTTCTAACGCTATGACCTGTGGATGTCATCCTGCCACTAGTTCTTTACAGAACTAGCGTAGTTTTATTATGAAAGCAAAGACAAATACCCATAAATATCTGAAGAGATTACTCAAATCCTTTTCAAGCACACATCTGTGAAGCTAGGTTTTCCTCATGCACATCAGCTGAGAAAGCAGACAAGTAAGGTTTGTAAGAATGTGAAACCAGCACCTCCATTTTCACAAAGTATTTATTGTTTTAAATTTTTTCCTGAAAGTCTTTAATTTTATCACTGGAGCTCAGAGTAGAGTGCTTTCCTGGCATATGTGAGAGTGGGCTCAAGAAAAAGAAAGGAAGAAAAAGGCACAAGTACCTTTTCAAAATTTAACAGCCTAATAAGATCAGATTTTTATTATAATTTTATGTGTAGACAGTTTTGTACTATCATAAACGCTTTCTGAATTACCCATCACATACATTAGACAGTAGCAGACAATCTATGAAGTTTGTATTGCTTCAGATTTGACAAATTACTTGATTACATAGTGATAAAAAAGAAGTCTGACAATAATGTTGGTGTGTATATTTTCTAGATCTGATTTTAAAATGTCAAAACCACTCAGTTTCATTTTTTCATATAGTTTTCATCGATGGAGAGAGTAGACAGAATATAATTATCTGGGAAATACCAATATTTAGTGTTTGAAGGCTCATAGAACATATGTAGATTTTCCTAGCGTGGTCTATTTTGGGATGGTGTAACAAAAGGCTTCAACAGCAGAAATGTAACTTCTCGGAGTTCTGCAGGGCTAAGTCTGAGGTCAGTGAGTCAGCATGATGAGGTGTTCCGGGGAGCTCTCACCTTAAATGCGTGGATGCTGGACCCCACTCTGTCTCTCTGTGTTCTCACAAGGTTTTTCCTGAGCTTCTGAATAGATGCATCAGATTACGAGAGAGCACTCAAATGTCTGTTCTCATAAGGGCACTAATCCCATTGTGAGGGGCCTACACACTTATATAACCTCATCTATATCTAACTACCTCTAACATAGTCACATCATCAAAACTGTCCACATGAGGGCATGATCTTTAGCATGAAATTTGGGAGGGAGAGCATAATTCAAGTCATAGAAACTGTTTATTTCATTTACATAACTACTATTAATACAAATGCTTAGAATAAAGAATTTAGGTATTTCAATTATTATTTAGTCAACATAGGTGATCATTTTTGGTAGTCATTTATACATAAGAAATAAATATGGATTTCCTTTTCCCCACATCTGTGCCAATATTTGCTGTTAATAGTAATCTTTTTTCTTTTAAAGGTTTATTTGCACAGGCGAGATGGCTTAGTAATTAAAAGTACCAGAGGACATATCACTACACTATATCTTCAAGGCAAAAATGATTTTACAGATGTGCTTACGGACTGTGTGATGGAAGTTAGTAAAGACTATCATTTGCATGGGTCCTTAAAGGCAAAGAACCGTTGGCAGTGGTTAGGAGATGGAGCTATGGAGCAGAAGCAGAGAGACATAATATTCATGTTGACAGTGGAGGAAGAGAACCATGAACAAGGGGTACAAAAGCTACAAAAAATTAAGGAAAGGAATCTTGCCTTACAGTAGAGGAACACAACCCTACTAAAACCATTTGGAGTTGTATAAAGTTGGAAAATAGTAGATATAATGTTTCAGTTGCCAATAGCTTTTGCCTTGTTAAAATATGCATGCCTAGGCCAATGAGTTCTCAGTTAGTCATAATCTGGCTCCAGTGTGTAAATCCATCATGTTTATCTTGTGCATAGCTGTTCTAAAGGATATTATTTTGTGTATTATATGTCTGTAATGTACATTGAAATACTATGTAAAACATAAGACCCACGTATGGATGACGCAACCAACTACCCAAGTGTCAAGTCAAGAAAAACACTAAGTAAACCAAGAATAGTTAAACGAAATGCAAACACAATATTAAGCTCATTAAGCCTGTAATGTACCTATAAAATGAGATGCACTGCAATTAGTAAGATGTAATAATGGTGTTTAAGACAATGGACCTGTGCAAGAATGTGAGGGAAGACGTGTTTATTGTCTTACAATTTTCTGTAACCACCCGAGAGAACAAGAGAGGCCTTCTCCCTCAGAGCCTTCCGAAGAAAGCAATCCTCTGATATACCTTGTCCTCGGAGTCCCATCTCCCAAACTGTGAGAGAATGCATTTCTGCTGTGTAAGCAATTCATCTACTCTTAGAGCAGCAACAAACACAATTTAAATAGTCCGGTACTGCAGCTCTCTAGAACCTGCCCCATTCTTTCTTCATGTGCTGCCTAACATTTGGCTATCACCCTATACGCTTTCACATGTGATCCACTAACATAAAAAAAAATCACAAGACAATCAGAGGCAACAAGACTCAATTCTGCTTACAGCAAAATTATAATCAAACTGATACATCTTTTTCTTCTTAGGGCAAAAATTCTGTATGGGTTATATTTGTATTGCTGTGATAAAATACCCAACAAAAAGCAACTTAGGGGGCTGGAGAGATGGCTCAGAGATTAAGAGCACGGGCAGCTCTTCCAGAGGTCTTGAGTTCAATTCCCAGGAACCAGAAAGTGGCTCACAACCATCTATAGTGAGCGGGATCTGGTGTAAAGATGTACATGCAGATAGAGCATTCACATAAAATAAATTAATAAACCTTCTTTAAAAAAGCAACTTAGGGGAGGAAGGGATTATTTGAGCACACAATTCCAGGTTATAGTCCATCACTGTGAGGAAGTCAAGGCAGAATATTAAACAGTTAGTCACGGCGCATCCACAGCCAAGAGCAGAGAGAAATAAATGAACACATGCTGCCTTGTACTTAGCTCCATTTCCACACTTACATGGCCAAAGACCCAGATCTAGGGAATGGTGCTGCACACAAGGAATGGGCTTTCTCAGCTCAATTAAAGTAATCAAGACAATCCCCAGGGTATGCCCACAGGCCAGTCCAATCTAGACAATCTCTTACTGAGCGCCCCTTCCCAAGTGGTTATAGATTGTGTCACATGGACAATTAAAACTAATGATCACAAATACAGAACCAAAGTGAAGCACCCCTCACCATATAAGGATGCAGCAA